TAGTAGAGTCAATTAAAAGTTGCATTTGGAACTCTTAAAAAAAAAATATTCTTCTAACAAATCATCATTTTCTTAAACAATCTCCTATGGCTGGACATTTAGGGGATTTCCAATTAGTTGCCATCATCCCCCAATGTCTTAGCTAAGTTTTGTTCTTACTCCTTTTAATGTCTATTGCCAAACTGTCCTTCAGAAAAAGGTTGCAACAATTCATATTCTCACCTGTGAGTACAAAAGTGCCTGTTTCTTTCCATCCTTGTGGACAATGGATGGTATCATTTTTAAAAATCAGAGACTATTTCTTGTATTTCTCTAGTGATTCTAGACAGAGCTGGGGACACAGTGAACACTAAAGCAATAGTTTTGATAAATGGAATAATAATAGTGTTTTCTCCACTACTTATGACTATTGAATTTTTAAAGTAATTAATTATTCATACATTCAACATATTTATACCACATGTGATGGCCGGGCATGTTGGCTCACGCCTATAATCCTAGCACTCTGGGAGGGTGAGGTGGAAGGATCACTTGAGCTCAGAGTTCAAGACCAGCTTGAGCAAGAGTGAGACCCTGTCTCTACAAAAAAATAGAAAAATTAGTAGGATATGGTGGCATGCACCAGTAGTTTCAACTACTCGGGAGGCTGAGGCAGGAGGATCACTGGAGCCCAGGAGTTGGAGGTTGCAGCGAGCTATGATGATGCCACCACACTCTAGCCAGGGTGACAGATTGAGACTCTGACTTCAAAAATAATAATGATAATTAAAAATAAATAAATAATAAAATAAAATAAAACATACCACAAGTGATGGTCCTTGATCTGCTTACTAAAAATGAATACAGCATTTAAAAATGAAATAAATGCTTTATGAATTACTGAAATGTAAATTAAAACACTGGTAACTAGTTTCAAAGGTAATGTGTACAGAAGCTACTCTTAAAACAAAAGTTGTTCCAGAGTCCTAAGAAGTCTCTTGGGAAAAAACAATTTGTCTCATTTTTCTAAGAATAGGAAGAACTAAAACTCTTCCTCTGGGGATAAGGACTATGATTTTAAGATGAGAAAGCCCTATCATCCATTAGCTATTAGAGTCTTTAGAATCAGGGGAATTGTGCAGAGAGGAAGTCAAAATATGGTGTGGATTTTCATAGTACCAGACATCTTCAATATGAAGGGGGAAAAAAATCAACACTAAAATTATTGGAAGAGTTGTTTGTTTCTTGTTGTTGTTGTTTTTTAGAGACAAGGTATCACTCTGTCACCCAGGCTGGGGTGCAGTGGCCTGGTCATAGCTCACTGCAACCTCAAATGCCTGGGCTCAAGCCATCTTCCTGCCTCATCCTCCCCAGTAGCTGGTACTACAGGTGTGCACCACCACCCTGGGCTAAATTTTAAGTTGTTTTTTTTTTTTTTTGCAGAGACAGGGTCTTACTATGTTGCCCAGGCTTGTCTTGAAATCCTGACCTCAAATGATCCTCCCACCTCAGCCTCCTAAGTAGCTGGGACTACAGGTATATGCCACTGTGCTCAGCTAATTTTTTAAAAAAACTTTTTGTAGAGACAGGGTCTCACTGTGTTACCCAGGCTGGTCTCAAACTCTTGGTCTCAAGCAATCCTTCTGCCTTAGCCTCCAAAAGTGCTGGAATTACAGGTCCTGGGGAGAATTTAAATGTTTCTATCCATTTCTGAAAGTTTATTTTATTTAAAGCTATCTCAGGGCTAGCATGACTAGATGAATGTCCTATTATTTAGGTGATTTAATTTTATAAGTCTCTTGTTCAATTATTAGAAAGATCATACTAAGGTGATAATTGGTCCCACTTTTCCAATGTACAAATCTTTTCACCTAAGGTAAAGTACTAATCATTACAAATTAGCATACCTTTAAAAATTACTTATTTTTAAACCTCATTTATAATTTTTTTTCCCATGATTGGTGGAAGGTGCTAGAATGAGTTTATAGTTCATAAAGCAATATATAGTAGAAAGAGAATGTGACTGGGGTCAGAAGATATGGATTCCAGTCCAGTATCTGCCAGTAATATCTATTTAACTTTAGACAAGTCACTTCATGTCTTGGGCTACAGTTTCCCCTACTATAAACCAAAAATGTGGTTTGGGTCAGCATTTCCCAAAGTGTGTTCTGTGGAACACATGTGTTATGTGATGTTCCATTGGAAAAAGGGTTTCATGGTTGAATACATTTGGGAAGTGCCGTATATAATATCTACCTCAGAAATTGCTCCTTTTTATGAAGTTTGCTCCTTTTTTTAGGCTCTTTATTTCAGAGAAGATCACCATCATCCAGTCTCCTAAACCAGAATCCTGAGAGTCATCTGTTTCCCTCTCATTTACTCCCTCATGTCCAATTATACATCAAATCCCATAGATTCCACCTCCTTTCTCTGTCTCCCATCTAGTCCCTCATCCCCATTTTACTGCCTCTTGCTTTTACTGAGACCTGCAGCACACCTCATCTGGGTTGTTGCTATACCTCCTAATTATCTCCTGCTCCAGTCTTGTCTCCACAAACCCAGTTGTTCTTTGCCTAAAATACTTCAAAGATTTTATTATTTATTATATTTCCCAGAGTATCAAGTTCAAACTCCTTAGTTTAGCACGTGAGTCCCTTTGGTAATGAGGCCCTTCCCACCCTTCCCTCACCTCTTTGGCCCTTCTCTGTGCCTGTCCTGACAAAATGGAATTACTTGCAGAGCTTCTCTAAAGCATCGTGCTGTTTGGTGTCTCCACACATCTGCACATATATTGTTGCCTTTGTCTGGAATATCTGTTCCCTTCTTCTTCATCTGGTTAGCTCCTCCCTGTCACTGAATATTCAGTTTAAGAATCTCTTACTGGGAAGGCTTTCCTCACCTGGGAACAAACTTCCTATTCTCTAGTAGTGCCTTCCTCACCTCGGTTTCCCACTAGACTGAAGCATCATGTCATATCTTTCTTGTCTTTGTATTCCTAGGCCTTAGCTGGAGCTTAATAAACTCCTATTGAATGAATGAAAGATTTAATGGTTTAAAGGGACTGATGAGAACACACTTTTCTCAATGACTGAAAGTGTGACTTTGTTTTCTCTTCTAATTAGCCTTCACTAACCTAAGCACTTGGAGGAGAGAGAGTTGGCTAAAAGCTACCTGTAAAGAACTCTATGGTCTATTTTTTTTAAGATTTGATACCTTCCTTGTAAGGTATCACACAGCCTGGTAATAACATTTGATGACCTCAATAGGAATTTATCAGGTTTGGCACCCAGGTGTGTCTAATCTCAACAAACCTAGTCACAAGGGAAATGAGGTGAGGCTGTAGACAGATTTGCAAGAAATGATCACTTATGAAAATTTTAAAAGCATTTTTAATTTATAAATATTTATTGTGCAAGGTGCTATGCTAGACATTGTAGAAGATAGAATGATGAATAAATTGTTGTATTACATTCATTTAGGGAAGATCATAACTTACTGAAATAATTATGATTAGAAGTAATGAATGATGAATTCCACAAGAAAGGAACTGAAGGGTAAAAGAATTGGTCAGCAGCACCATCTTCATTTATAGGAGACAGTAGTATTATTCTATGCCAGAATATTGAAGCACCTTCTGAACTTAAAATACATAAGTGCATGTATGTTTCCAAAGTACAGATATCTCAAGAGTAAAAGGCAGCAAGTAACTGTATTGTATGGCTCTAAATACCAGTTTGAAACAGATTGTGTATCGGTTTGGAACAGATTGTGCAAAAAAGACCAAAACCACTTGAAAGTCCTCGAGAATATCAGGAAGTAAGAAAGTAATTAACCAAACCGGGATTTGGCCATAGGACAAAGAAATGAACACTGTGGTTCTTAGAAAGGGAGCTAGGATTTCAGAAAGGTACAGTCAACTCTTTATCTGTGAAATTTCAAGGTACAGAAATTCTTAGCAAGTGGATGAGAAGACATAAGAAAGGAATGTTCCCTGCGACCAATTTCAGTTCACACTCCCAATTCCTCAATTGTTTTAATGCTGTCAACAAATTTTTTTGCATGTAGCCAAGCGAGAGTAATTTAATTCCATTTTTTCCCCTTCCTTTGATCAACTTTAGGTGAAGGTTAAAATAAGGACATAAATGAAAAACCTAGAAGTCTGCCTAAGTCATATCTGAGCCTGGTGATAAGAAAAATGCGAACACCTTACTCCTACACACTTTCAGTAAGGGGAGAACATTAATTAAGAGCTCAAGATAAACAGATTTCTAAGTTAAAACATTAAATAATTTAATAATTAAAATTATTAAATAATTAAAGATAATTGAAATGTCCAGTTTCTAAAAGCTTCCTAATATACTGCATGAAACTGCAGAGAGAGTTTTTGGCCAAAATGGGATTTCCTAAAGAAGGGCCTCACAGACTTCAGTGACAATGATCCTGTGAGTGCCTAAGACAACAGCTGATGCGTCTCTGAATACGTGGATGGCTTAAAGGTAGATGCGCACAGCTCCGTGACAGAGCCGCGCAATGCTCCTGTGTCTCCCAGGGCCCTCGGACACAGGAGGCTGGGCCCGCTTCCTAGGAGCGGCGGAACACGGGGTGGGGCCGCACCGGGATTTTCCTTCCCACTCATTCATTTTCTGATTCACTCGTTCCTGGAGGCGGTTCACCGGGACGCGCGGAGGAAAGGCGGGGCACGGAGCACAGCCCAGGCAGGGTGCGGTCCGGCGCCTGAGGGGAGGCGGGCCGGGGGCGCGAGTGGGGAGCACTGGGGGCGCAGGCGGGAGGGGCAAGCGCGGCGGCCTGCGCCGGAAGTGAGTGGTTGGCGGCGGGCGGGGGGAGCGCCGGGACCGGCGCGAGTTGGTCAGCCCTTTGGCCGCCCGGCCCCGGCCCCGCCTTCTGCGTCTCAGCCAGACGCGGCGGCACTCGGCTCCGCCGCGGCGGGGCGCTGCGGCCGCCCCGCCCCTCCGCCGCTGGGTCGGTCCGTCCGTCAGTCAGTCAGTCACGGAGCGCGCGGCGCGGGAGCGGCCGGCGTTCGCGGCGTGTCCGTGGAGGGATCGCTGCGCCTGGGGAGGAGGCGGAGGCAGCGACTGGGAGAGCGAGAGCTGCGACTGCCCTGCCCCGGGCCAATACTGTAGCCGGGGCAGCCGGAGGGCCGCGCGGCTGCCACGGTGAGTGCTCAGCTTCGTCCTCGGGGCCAGGGGAGGGAGCTGAGCGGTCGCGGGGCTCCGAGACGCTCCCGCCTCCATTTTCCAGGCGCCGGCCCCGCCATCCGGGCGCGGTGCGGGCGGCCTTAGCCTGGGGCGGGGTCGCTGCCGGGCTCGGGCTTGGGCCGGGGCCGCTGGACCGCGCCCGGCGTGGCGGCCGGCCGGTGGGTGGGGGTCGGCGGAGCCTGAACTGCACCCTGCACCCCTGGGGACCGCGACTGAAGGAAACAATGAGGTATGGGGCCGCCTGGAGAGGGTGCGGTTGGGCTTCTCTGACCCGGCACCGGGGGCTGGTAGCCTGGAAGCGCTTGGAGGAAAGGACTCTCCCCTGACTAGCCGCAGAAACCAGTGTCTCGATGTCGGCTTGCTTAGGTTTCGATGCGCCCCATCTTTCATAGATGAGTTCAGTGCAGAGATTTAGTAAGGCGGGGCGCCTTCTGTGTCTTCTTTCTGGTTAAGCAGGCTAAGTAATTGCTCCACTGCTTTTTAGCCCCATCTCACCTTTGCGTGTCTGTATACATTCCCGCCGGAAATCCAAACTGCAGTTCATGGAGGGGGGGAGGCGCAGGGAAGGAGAGGGCAGTATAATAGTATTACTTAAGAAGCCTTCGTTTTAAGACGGCTTGAAAGATGTAATTTTCTTATTCAGGCAGTGTCTTAAGGTGTCCCCGCTGTGTGAGTTGGAAACCGCATAAACCTTATTGCTTATAAGCACGAAGACGTGGCTTAATATGAAATAAGAGCTTTTGGGGAGGGTGTAAGTGTTACATGTGTTTTGCTTGTGTGTACTTCTTGTATGCTGTGGGAAGATCAGCTGGGGAAATCTGGGAGAATGGAAAAGTTCTTCACTCAGTATCCCAATAAAGGGTTATGTTGTCTGCAGCATTTCTCATGGAGATGTGCAGAGCTGTTTATGTATGTAAAGTCCGCTGTAAAGGAACAGTAAAGGTAACGGGGGTTAGGCATGAGGCGTGATCGGATTGTTAAAGGGTAGTATTGAGTCCATGAGAATATTAAATTCAGCAAACATTTATGGAATAACTACTCTCTGTTAGGCAGGGCGGGGGACACCAAGTGAACGAGACCTAGAGAATGGGGTTGTGGAAAGAGCTCTTTGGAGCCAAGGAAACCAGAGTCCCAATGCCTGGCAATTGGCTAACAGTGTGATGTTGGGTAATTGATTGAACTCTATACAGTACGTTCCCTGTCAGTAAAATGGGAATAACACCACTGGTTTACCTCCTCAAATGGTTTTCATACAGATTAAATTAGATAATGTATGCTAAATGAGTAGCACCTTGCTCGGCACTTGAGGTGTTTAACATCACCCTAAATTCCTTTCCTCCCTCTCCTGCTCTCTGGGAATTATCTTGAGGTAGAGTAGGGAAGATGTTAATATGGGTAATTGTAATACAGTACATTATATAATGTTGAAGTAGAGGTGTAGAATAGGGAAGTGAAGCAGAGATTAATTCTAGATTGGGGACATTGAGGGAAAATTCATGGATGCCTGGACATTGAAGTGGAACCTTTAAGAATGAGTAGGATTTCAGCAGGTGCAGATGGGAGGGGGAGGACATTCCACATAGACGTGATGCTGTCCTTTGAGAGCTGAATTGTGGAGGAAGAGCATTGGGGGAAGGGCAAAATATAGAGGCTCAAAAGCTTTTTAGCGCTTGTTGAGTCTGACCTTCAAAGATTGGGTTATTTTGCTTTTTGTGGCATGAATTTCCCGGAAACCCTATATAGCCCTATTCAAGTAAATACAAAAATGTCTGCAAGGCTTAATTCATGATTTTTTAGATTGCTTCTCTCTTCTGTTTGAATTTCATAAAGAATTATTTGTAGATGTTACCTTGTGATAAATGTTATCTCTATTTGATAGAAGCAGCAGCTAATTTTTTAGACTCAAAGGTCTCACTGCGATTATAGAGTAAGTAACTGGCTGAAAGAAGTGGATTTGTGGGCTCAATTGAGTGTGTTTTCACAAATATTTAACACTTTATTTTTTGAAGAGGTGTTGTTAACCATTGTCTTTGAGGATAATTATGATGTGTTTTCTACCTTTTGGTTCCCACTCCATAAATAAATACTTACTAAATTAGCATTGTGGAGATAACTATGGCACTATTCACAGATTCTTGGCTACATACTGTAGAATCTCATGGCTTTGCCTGCCTTGGTTTGGAAGTAGTTGAATGTCGACATTAGTACTGTTAATCCCAAACTCTTATTTTAGGAAAATTAATATTAGTGAAACAAGATGTGACCTCAGTCAAATAACTTATCTTGGACTCTTAATTCCTTTACCTATAATGTGAGACGTTTTTATTAGATCACTGGTTTTCAAACTGTTTTACCAAACTCAAGAATTTTGAGGAGGTGCTTCAGAAATTCTGCAGATATTTGCCTTAAATCTCATTAAAATGTATTTTAAACTCATAATAAAAAAAAGTGACTGGCATATAACATACACTAATTTAAATACTTTACATGTGTGAATTTATTTAATCTTCACCATAACCCTATGAAATAGGTTCTGTCACTATTTGAGAAAACAGGCACAGACAGTAAGTTACTTGCCCAAAGACTGCAGAGCTGAGTTTGAAACTGGGCAGCCTAATTCTTAAACTTGTTAACCACCATCCTATACTACCACCACAGCAATACATGTACATATCGTTTTTTAGAAAATTTGTTGTTAGCTGGGCTTGGTGGCATTCTGTAATCCCAGCTGCTCAGGAGGCTGAGACAGGAGGATCTCTTGAGCCCGGGAATTTGAGTCCAGCCTGGGCAACATAGCAGAACCCCATCTCTAAAAGAAAAATTGTCTGAAAAAATAGTGGTAAAGTATACATAACATAAAAGTTACCATTTTAACTGTTTTTAAGTGCACCATTCAGTGGCATTAAGTACATTCACATTATTGTGCTACCATCACCACCATCTCCAGAACTTTTTCATCATCCCATAGTGAATCCCATTAAACAATAACTCTACCTCCCCTTCCCCTGTCCCTCATAACAACTTTTCTACTTTATTAATTTAACTATTACAGGTACTTCACATAAGTGGAATCTTACAATATTTGTTCTTTTGTGTCTGGCTTATATCACTTAGCGTGGTGTCTTCAAGATTTATCTGTGTTGTATCGTGTCAGAATTTCCTTTTTAAGGCTGCTTAATATTCCATTGTATGTTTATACCACGTTTGTGGACATTTGGGTTGTTTTTATCTTTTGGCTATTATGAATATTGCTATCTTCGAGTCCCTGCTTTCAATTCTTTTGGATATGCACCCAGAAATGGAATTGCTGGATTATATGGTAATTCTATATTTAATTTTTTGAGCAACTGTCATATTGTATTCCACACAGGTGCACCATTTTACATTCCTACTAGCAACGCACAAGGGGTCCATTTTCTCCACATCTTGCCAACACTTATTTTCTGCTGTTTTTTCTTTTTGTGTTTTTAACGATAGCCATTCTAATGGGTGTAAAGTGGTATTTCATTGTGGTTTTGATTTGGATATTCCTGGTGATTAGTGATGTTCAGCATCTTTTTATATGCTTATTGGCCATTTGTATATCTTGGGAGAAATGTCTGTTCCAGTCCTTTACCCATTTTTAAAGTGAGTTGTTTGGTTTTTTTGTTGTTGAATTGTAGGAGTTCTTTATGTACTCTGGATATTAACCCCTTATCAGATATATGATTTGCAATTATTTCCTCCCATTCTGTGGGCTGTCTTTTCACTGTTTTTTTTTTGTTTGTTTGTTTTTTAAATACATGGAACACTTCACAAATTTGTGTCATCCTTGTGCAGGGGCCATGCTAATATTATCTGTATCATTTCAATTTTAGTATATATGTTGCTGGAACAAGCACTGTCTTGACAGTATCTTTTAATGCACAAAATGTTTTAATTTTGATGAAGTCCCATTTATTTTTTCTTTTGTTGCCTGTGTTTTTGGTGTCCTGTCCAAGAAATCATTGCCAAATCCAATGTCATGAAGGTTTTCCCTATGTTTTCTTCTAGGAATTTTATAGTTTTAGCTCTTACATTTACATATTTGATGTATTTTGAGTTAATTTTTGTGTACAGTGTTAGGTAAGGGTCCAACTTCATTCTTTTCAATGTGGATATCCAGTTTTCCCAGCACCATTCATTGAAAGGACTATCCTTTCCCCATTGAATGGACTTGGCACCCTCATGGACTCATTTATATATACACATGTGTATGTATATATATATATATGCCATGTATATACATAAAATTTTAACACATTGAAGACCATAATGCTACATAGTTATATTAATACATGGTTAATTTTGGGGGTAGGATGAGACAGGCTTTCCTAAGAACAAAGCTCTTACTATCTCTGCTTACTTGTGCATTTTAAATGGGTTATTGATAAGGAAGTTGTAGATCACAGATTTTTTAAAAAATTCAGTCTTGTGCGTATCTATTCATATATTATAAAATTGTCTGAACTATACATCACTGTGGCATATGCACTGTGCCTAATTAGATAGGTGAAACCCAGGCACATTTTTCTTTGGATGCATACTCATCTTGTGTAAGTCATTTGTATAGTAACAATGAACATGTAACAGTAAGTTCTGATATTGTATCATAGATGTTTTTATAGGTCATTGCACGCTTTGGGTTTTTCTTATTTGCCTTATAAGCAGTTGTTAGATACTGTTACTGAGTCAATTTTTGAAAGAAAAGATTATCTTATTTTCTTAAACTTTTGGATCAGTGTATTTGAAGACTATCCTGAGACTACAAAGTGAAGTTACGAGCTGCTACCTACTTGCAGCTACTTCTCTGGTTGAAATCAAAACAAAATTATACAAAAAATGGGAAGCTTAGGTGGTCATAAGACTGTAATTAATATCCCTGACCCTCAGTTTCTCTCTTTGAGTTTATAATGAATATAATGTATTCGAACATAAAA